ACTAATAATCATATTTACTCACGCATAGTGTTATCCGAAAATATAAAAAAATCGGAGTTCAAAAAATTTATGGATAACTAATGTTTTCATGCTTAATGAGATGTGTCTTGCGGTACTTTTTTAAATTTCAATGATGAAATTTTTGTGATTGGGGAAGATTGTGAAGTCCTCATTTCAGTGAAATGAAGAACTGAAGAATAGGAATTGAGGTGCGAAAAACCAAATAGTTAGGGAGAGAAAATGAACTAGGGGAGAGGAAGTGAAGGCGGAAGTCGAAATGGTTAAGTTTGATCTATAAATTATTATATTGGGAAGGCAAGAACTTACCAAGAGGATTGAATAGCAGCGTCGAGGGTTATACTGTTGGGTTGAGCCGTGGTGTTAACAGAGAGAAGTTGGAGCTGCGTCGATGTCGAGCAGAGGAGGCAACAATGCTGTCATGCAGTGTAGGCGAGTGTAGTTCTTGCGCACTCGATCTTGACGAATGAGCTGAATAAGAAGAAAGGGGAAGAGGAGCGATGCACTCACCGAGTGCACGGAGTCAGATCGTGTGAAGGGAGAGCGAAGCCGAGCATCACACAAGGTGAAGGCAGAATCATATGCAAAGGGGATGAAGACGAAACCGTCGCGTGATTTATGGCTCAATCAAAGTAATGTTTATAAAAATAATTTAATTATATATATATATATATTAAAAAGCCCAAGGGATAAATATATTAAAAAAAAGGAAAGATACATAAAGGTTGTATGAGAGGGCCCAATAGAGGCACCCTACCCATACGATACAACACACAAACACCATAAAAGAGAAAAAATACAGGGAAACGCAAAAAAAGGAAAGATACCAAAATCGCAGAAAAGAAGTAGCTAGGGACGAGTCAGTTTAATCATGCCTCTGCCTCTAGTTCTATGGCGAGATCCAACTAAAAAATTGTTGAGTACCAAGCCATTACCCGAAGTAACCAAAGTATCATCCATTAGGTTCCCGAGCTGAAGTTTACCTCCAATTTTCTTCTTCCTCCTTGAATAGACCAACTATTCCTCATCCGAAGACTGACTCATCTGATCATCGTGTTGGTAAACAAAACATTGGGCAGATAAAAGCTGATGAGCACCAGAAGAAGGATTGTCAACTGTTGCAACGACTGTAGGTTCAAGTGTATGTGAAGCATGAATTGTCTCCTCTCCACCTGATGCTTCCTGCAACTGAGGAGGGTTTGAAAGTGTAGGTTGCTCAGCAGGGCCATCCAACTTATCGATCGTAGAAATAGTATTTTCAGGGGGAGGGTCCACAGGGGTCATTAAATCAGACACCATAATCTATTCTGAGATAGTTTTCTCTCCAGATAGAACAGATATGCCCAAAGCAGTGTGGTCAAATTCATTCTTATTCACTTGATCTTTAGATTTCAAATTAGGGTGAAGCTTATAGCATTTATCAAGGTTGTGCCCAAACATCTTACAATGAGAACAATAAGGAGGTCTATGCTCGATAACAATTTGTTTCCAATATCCATAGTGAGTTGTGCCCAACCAGACTTCAGTAACATCAGGTAAAGTAATATCTCTTTAAACAAGTATTCTAGCCACAGAATGTCTGTTTAGGTTAAAATTATGTAGATCTAACTTCAAAAGGTCCCCAAGTATGACACCAATAGAGTAGAGAATCTGATGATGATGAGACCAGGTAGACTAAACCGTACCGGTACAGTAGGAGATTCGTGCTTGGAGTCAAAATCAGGAGACCACTTGAGTGGCTTCATTGGTTTACCAACAATGTTGAGATATTTTTTGGAAAAAAAATTGAGTGTAGTATTCAGGCACGGTTAGTTGAATTAATAATTGTCTCCCATCCATGAGCCCCACTTTTCACTTTTCTGCTAATTTGAGATCATTAAAACTTTTCCTGATAACATCCATAGGTGGGTGCCCTCACTGAAATTTTCCAATAAGAGCAAACTTGAATTTTTTCAAAACTTGAATGTATTAGTCAGGTTTGAAATTTCAAACTCAGAGCAAAAAAGTGTTGCTTTCCCACTTTTAATACTTGCAATCTTGATAAAGAGGCAATCACCTGTGCCATCCCGTTGCTCCTTATAACTTGAGGGGAAGACAACCGTCGTCTCCCTCTGAGGATTACCCACCATGTGGGCAAATGAGGTTCTACCAAGTACAACATTGGACGAAGGAAGCTCTATCACAATAAGGAGAAACCCTGCCAAGTTGGGCAGCGACAAAGCTAGCGAGTCGAAGAGGTCGGGGTGAAAAATTGCAATTGTCGAAGCCGCGTAACAGTTGCAGCTCGACGAGGCAGGTCGCGGAACAGTTGCAACGAACGAGAGTGAGAGGATACGACCACGACGATACGACCTTAACGCAGCTCGCAGCTCGACGATCACCTAGTGTGAAGGAGAGCGAGACGAGACGACGACGACGAGACGACCTGGAAGTCATTCGCAGCTCAACGACGTGGCTCGCAGCTCGACAACCACGCAGAACGAAGGAGACGTGACAACGACGCGTAGGAGTTGACGATCGCAGGAGAGATTGATGAACGCAGAATTTGTCGTCGAGCATGACATATATATAT